CACTAAGAGCATTGTATAAAATCAACATGAATTCCAAAAAAGATTTGCATGGCTTGATTCTAAAATTATGCAATATTGTTGGCTCAGCATAATAATATTTTATTTTGTCATTGATCTTCAAGATAAATGTCTAGATATAGAAACATCTTTCATCCAAGTGAGTATCGAACTATCGATAACCCTACGAGAAAATCTATTGGTGTGATCCAAATTTAAAATTAAAATGGAGTCATTCAAGAATCATAAGTAACTCCTCCAAAGTATTTTAAGTCACGAATCAAAGATATATTCAAATAGTTCAATATAATTTGCTTTATAGATCATCAGTTTAACTTGACTCAAGTATTTCATGGAGCCAACCAAAAATTTACAGGTTCCTTGAGTTTTAATGAATTGATCCATCTCAATAAGCAAATCTAGGTCGAGCGATTCATTGGACCATGTCCTTAACATGCAATGATGTTTTAATTAGTACCATTGATTATTCATATTTCATTATAGAAATAGAAAATTAGAGGGCATAATGAATTGATCAATCTCATAAATTTAGTACCAAGGATCTTCATCAACAAAACTAACAATCCACAAATATTATAATCATTTTTGTTTAAAGAAAATGTGCATTGATCAAAGATGAATACAATAATTTGTAAGTTAGGTTTTTTAATTAGCCCCTAACAACTCCCAACAATATGCATGTCCAATATCATTAGTTTATTTAGAATATAAATTTGCTCATGATTTGATTGACCAAAAAATAATTAAATAAATAGTTTGACCTTGAAAATATCCAAAGTGACACCTTAATCTTATCAAGCAACACCCTTTAATCGAATAAGTTGTTCCTTAGGGTACTTTTTAAAAAACCTCTCATTATTGTGTTATAATGCCTACGATCAAAGGATACAAATAATACATAAATTACGGATCAACATTAAAAAAACACTAAAATTTATGTTGTATGATTGAAACAAACCTATATTTATAAGAGAAGTGATAAGATCTAATCTACTACAAATAAGCTAACTATACGCATAAGCAAACATAAAAAATATTTATTCTCAAATCCCAATACACTTAATCTCACAATTAAAAAAAATACAAATATTTTAATCTAACACAACATAGATAATAAAGAGAATAAAAAATATATCAAAATTTACCTTCATTTTAAGGAGAGATTATTACATGCAGTGATCAGACATAAAGAATCATTCAGTTTTATCTCTGTGAATAATATAAACACACTGTTGAATAGTAAAAACATAATTATGAAAAATAGCTATATTTTTATTATTCACAATTAAAAAATCGAACGATTTTCTATATCAAATCTCCCCACAATATATATATATATATATATATATATATATATATATATGCACGTCCCAAGGGCATCTCCAACCGACCTCCAAACGCTTGAATGGAGCTCCCGGCCAGCTCTAGCCGAACTGCAAAATTTCCGCTATATGGCTGCAGGTGAACAGTGGGACGCCAATATTGGCGTTGCACTGTTCATCTCCGCCATTTTTACCACTCTACCGAACTTGTCGCGGGAAAAAAAGTGGCGACGGTTAACTGCAAAAGGGTGAAAAACGCGTTCCATTGGAGATGAAATCACGGCATTTTGTAGTTTCCGGCATTTTGGAGTGAAAAATGAGATTTTCGGTTGGAGATGATCTAAGAAAACTATCAACCTCATGCAAATTTTGCAAAAAGAAAAAAAAAGTACAAAAAATAGAAAATCCGAAAACGTCCAATGCGTACTTTGAAATAATATAATTATTACTGCTGGTGGGATAGAAGGAAAACACAACTCTCCTTGGCCTATTGGTTGAGAGCTAAGGCTTCCAATTAAGAGGTCTAAGGTTCGAGTCTCTGTGTATGCGTTGTGTGTGTGAGTTTGCCTTAAATGACCTAAATGTCCCAAAAAAAAAAAAAAGATAGAAGGAAAAAAAAAATGAAGCACATCAAATCGAACGCCTGACTATAAATTTTCTAATAAAAATCAAGCAGAGCATACTTTGACCACATCTACCCACTCATACATAATACTACTTTATGCATTATCAAGGCATAGATAAATCATGAAATAAATAGAAGTCCATTCATTATTTAGGATAAATAAATACAACCTTAAATCTAAAAAAAATTAATAATTATTCGTTGACTATGTAATATTATGATAAATTTAAGGTTTTTATTTTTTTTTTCTTCTAAATTTAGCATTCTAAGCATTCAAAATTATAAAGAATTTAGCAATGCAAATGAGTTCAAATAGTGATTGAACTTGATGCTTGTGAGAGAGATTTATTATCAGATGATGTTGATTTGTTATGAATAAAAGTATATTAATTTATCATTGAATTTTTGTGTCCGTAAAATATTTGTTTCTAGTTCTATATGTTAGGACTGATTAATTGTTCAATAAAAAATTGACATATATGATTATCTTCATCAATCTTCATGTCAATTTATGTTCTTTTTTATTAAAAAATATTATCTATTTAACTTACATGCATGCTATTTTCAACTTAAATCGTAATGTTATAACATATATAAATAATGATGAAATTAAACCACGATACTGTAAGTTATACACTATACTTCAGCCAAAGTCCATTCATTCACTTCATCTCTTGATATCCATCAAATCCTTAAAGATCATAAGAAATTCAATGCCTTGGGGTGATAAAGATTCAATTTTGAGACAATCAAATGCTGCTCGAAATTGCCTAAAACGTATAGACTAGCTTAAAAAAGTATTATAACGAAGAAATTTCAAAGTTCTATCTACCATCACTTAATGCTCATTATTATCAATAGGTAGCTCTATAACAATTAGGAGATAAAATAAATGGAGTTATGCATATCCATATCTGTAAATAATTTTATATAATTATGACATAAATCCATATAGAAATATTTATTAATGATTATGGCATAGTAGTTTTAAATAGATGAAACATAACATATGCTAAGTTTAACTCAAGTTATGTTAGATATTAAAAGAGATTTCGTTAGAGGTACTTCAACTAACAATTTATATATTTTTTTATCTATCTTAATTTTTTGCACTAATTAAAAAATGTTTAACTATTTAAACACAATGAAATCTTGCGTACAATGTTGTTTAGAGGTTCTAAAAAACCATTTTTAGAAAGTGTGAAAATGATACATATTCAAGCAATTTGAGGAGCATTTGTTGAAGCTAATGTTACAATGGCACCAAGGAGTCAATCTAATACTTAGGGTTTGTCTAAAAAAGTTTTCTCACAGTTTTGCTTTTCAGATTATAATTACAGTTCCGCTTAGTTACTATATTTTTTTCATTGCTCTTTAAAATTTTAATGTTGGGAAGAAATTTTTTTATGATTTGAGTTGCTAATGTGTGAAAGCATGCATTCTTGATGTCTTTGAAAAAGAATATATTTATAATATTCATAACAAATTAAAAAAAAATTCCAACAGCTTCACAAACATCTTTACAAAACATTACAGCTGTCCCAAATAAGACCAAAATTGCAAAAAATAGGTAGTGCTATGATGAGAGATCCAACACGATGATGCTAGCTAGAACCCAAGTTTTTGGAAGATCCTATCGTGCCTCAACACTAATTTCGACACCATAATGTGTGGGTCTAACACCCCCCCCCCCTAATAATCGATGCCCTGATGCTATTTACGAAATTAAGGCATCAAACTTTGTAAATGCATGATTTTGAATTAAACATGGAGGGGATTTTATTGGGAGAAACCATTTTTGCAATATTTCAAATATCCCAAGGGAGAAATAATGTTATTTTTTAGATGGAGAGATGGGAATAATTGTGGAGACTAATAAATATAGCTCTCAAATTTTGATTTTGTATTCCCTTCTTTTTCTTTTGAGCTTGATTTTTCAATGATAATTATCTTGCATTCTCTTTTCTATATCATATTTTATATTCTCTTCCTTTTGTAATATCAAGCCAATATTGGTTATTGGTTTTACTTTAGTTTGATATATTGATATCTTTCATTCAAATTTTATGCTGCATATTTCACTTTATTTCTATTTTGCTTTAATTGTTTGACTATCACCTATCTGATTCGAAGATTTGTAGGAAATTGTGATGTTCTTTGAGGCAGAAATATCATAACCAATAGTAAAATAGATACATCCACATCATAATTGTGTAATCTTTGTGATCTATGATTTACTTGGATTTATTACATTCAATCTATTTCAAAGATTATGATAGATTTTGTTTTGCAAATCAATTGCTCTTTATTTTCAAGATATTAGTAAAGGATACTTTTGAATTTGATTATAAAAAAATCATTCATTTCAATTGATAAAATTAACTATTTTTTACCAATTGAAGATATCTTGATAAAATTTAATCCCCTTGTCTCTTCCTCTATTGAAAACTCTATTTAGATTTCATTTCGAACAGCTTTCTTACTGATTTCTAAAGAATATATTTAGTAACAAAAAAATTTTGTATAGAAAAATTGTTTTAGAAAAAAAATAAGAAAAATGTCCCAAACTAAACCTTAGTTAACATTCATTATTAGTAATTTTTGGAGCTATTATTTAGATTTCTTTACATTAAAATTCATATAAATCTTTATTTTCAAATAAAACTTTTGTTAATTACATTTAGGTACTAAGTGAAAATTAATTTCAATGTGGATGATATTTTACCCGATATTTTATTATTTGCGGAATCACATATTCTTATGAAATGAGCTAACACCAAATTTATATATTTGATTATATCAAAAACATTTTTTTAGTAGAGGTTAATGTATTAAAGTAGACATATAGATTATTAAAAATAAGTCAAAAAAATTCTTAAAAAATAGGCCAATTAATTCTAGTATGCACACAAATGTGATCCCTTCACTAATCCTGAAGAGCTATTTTTGGTATGAATTAGATAATAAGGAATATAGGAAAAAAAATCTGATAATCGTATTAAATATAGATCCTTTAAATCAGCATGTTCAATAATAAAATATAAAATTAAAAAAAAAAAGTGCAGAAGAAGGAAAGAGGCCCCAAGGCAGTCTTCTTCCTCACTTTGCTTTGCTCTCAAGCTCTCAGAAGATTCTTCTCTCCACAGTCTAAACTACAGCAATCCTCCCGATTCCCAATAAATAAACACTTAAATCCTCCGACTCCCCCTAATCATTCACCCCACAAAACTGCAAAAAAAAAACAGTCATGAAATACAAATCTCTCGCCTGCTAACAACCTCCCTGCCTCCTTCCATGGCAACAGTCGACAACCAGCAGGGATGGCTTCCCTACGACGGTAGCATAAACAGAGACTGCTCCCAAGGCTTCTGCAGCATATACTGCCCTCAATGGTGTTACGTCCTCTTCTCTCCTCCTCCTCCTCTCTCCCTCGCCGGCGCTGACAACGACTCCTCCAGCACGACCTTCTCACCTCTCGTCATATCCATCATCGCCATCCTTGCAAGCGCTCTTCTTTTAGTTAGCTACTACACATTCGTCTCCAAGAACTGCGCCTCTCTCTCCTTCAGCCGCCGCCCCTTCCACTACGAAGAAGACAGCGGAGGCGGCGCCGCCGCCTCCGTCCGCCATGAGGAGTGGCATGTGTTGCCTTCTAATGGACTTGAGGAAGCCCTCATCAACAAGATCACAGTTTTAAGGTATAAGAGAAAGGAAGGCCTGGTAGATGGAACTGACTGCTCTGTTTGCCTTGGAGAGTTCAAGGAAGAAGAAAGCCTTCGGCTGCTTCCTAAATGTAGTCATGCCTTCCACTTGCAGTGCATTGACACCTGGCTCAAGTCTCACGCGAATTGCCCTCTATGCCGAGCAAACATAGTGCTGGAGCTAGATGGGAATGAGGAAGAGATGGTCATGATCGTAGAAGATGCAGAAAGAAGTGGAGAAGAAGAAGAAGAAGAAGAAGAAGAAGAAGAAGCAGCAGAAGAAGAAGAGCAAGAAGAACAAGAAGAAGAAGCAGAAGAAAACGAAGAAGATGAAGGAACAGATCATGGAACTGATGCGGCGGAAATTGGGGAAGAAGATTCAGAGCGGGTAAGGCGGTGCTTGTCTATGGGATCATCGGCGGAGTATCCTAACCGGGTTTCAATTGCAGATGTGCTTCAAATGAGCATGGAGGAAGAGTACATGGTGGCGAAGAACTGTGGACTTGTTGGAGAAGGTGGGACTTGGAGGCGGAGGGAAAGAGAGCAGAACAGCGGCAATGGAAGAAGCAGGGGATTGAATTGTGTTATGAGTACTGTGCGTATGAAGAGATCAGTTTCAAGTGGAAGGTTTTTCTTTAACAGGCAAGGAAGGGGAAGATCTTCTCTACTTCCAGTTTGAGCAATTGCAGAATGATTGAGTTCTTTTGCAGCAATCTTTGATTTGTTTTGAGATTTTTGATCTGAAACAGTAAAGAATGTTTTCATCTTCTTCTCTATCTTTTTTTTTGTGTGTTATTGGATTTGTATATTGGAGACTTTGATCAGCGAATCTGTACAGAAATGCAGATACTAAGCTGAAATCTCTTTTTGCTGCTTTTTTCTTCGATTTGAATTGTTTTTCCTTTCTCTTTTCTTGGTGTGTTGATCGCCTGAGTTTTCTCTGCAAATTGAGCAATGAAGAGATGCAGAAGTTTGCTTTTTTAAATCGACTTTCCCTTTGTAGTTGGTTCTGTATATGATGATAGTGTTAAGGATATATATGTAAATAAGTTAAATGCTTTGTACTGTTATGTTATTACTTGTATTATAATTCTATATATACCTGAGACGGTATTCTGTAAGGAAGATGATATTTGATAAAGGTTTTTACTGTTTTCTATTGCTCTTCCTCGGTTCTTAACATTCTTCATGGTATCAAGAGACGCAAGATTCTGAGCTCTCGCCATGGCGACATCAGCTTCCGCTTCTTCCTCGGTTGCGGCCACCTCCGGCGAAAAGCCGCCCGCTCCGGTCATCCCTCAATCTCTGAAGTTTGTAATCTCAAATCTTAAGTTTCTTGTTCCACATTCTCTTACAGCGGATAATTTCCCCGTCTGGAGTTCGCAAATTGCGAAACTCTTCAAGGCGAATGGCTTTGCTGCCTTTCTTGAAACCCGATCGACCAGCGAAAATATGGATCCAAATCAAGATTTGCATCAATGGACAGTCATTGATCAGAATCTTGCAACGGCTATGTGTTCCACTATCTCGCCGGCCGTTCTACCCTATGTGATTCATTTGGAATCCACTCAAGAAATCTGGTCGACCCTTCACATGAGGTTTCAATCCTCCAACCGCTCCAAAGTCATTCAGCTCAAAAATGAGCTCCACAATATTTCGATGCAATCCATGTCTATGGCCGATTATCTCACAGAAGTCAAGAAAATAGTGGATCAGATCGCCTCTGCAGGATCATCGATTGATTCGGAAGATATTATGATCTATATCCTCAATGGATTTCCGCCGGCATATCAAGCTTTCACAACCACGATTCGCACGATGCAAGGCACGATGACGCTGCACAACCTATACGCTCTTCTTATCAGTGAAGAGATTCACTTGAAATCGACTGCTCTCAAATTTTCCAAAGATCCAGACACTCAATCTGCCTTATATTCATTTCGCGGTCGTGGCCGTCGGGGTCGACTCCGGCAACATCATGATACAAATATTTCAAATAAATCCTCCTCTCAACCTGCGGTTCTATGCCAAATCTGTAAAAAGAAAGGTCACGAGGCAGATGCGTGTTGGCACAGACTCAATGCTAACTATGTTCCGTCTCAAGGCTCATCAAAGAACACCAACGCTCTAGTGGCGAAATCTGACGGTCATTCGGGCGTTGATTGGTATTTAGATTCAGGCGCCTCATCTCATATGACCAACAATCTGGACAGTCTAGCTCCCTACAATACCTACAATGGCAATGACACGGTTACTATTGGGGACGGAAGATCCATCCCGATAGCTCATACGGGTTCTGGGATCCTTCCAACCCCGGCCAGTAAGCTTGTTCTATCTCGTTTATTGCATATTCCTTCCCTGTCTTATAATTTGATTTCTATCTCAAATCTAGTTAAAGATAACCCGATTTCCATTACGTTTGATAATACCGGTTTTGTTTTTAAGGATCGGACGACCAATCAGGTCATTCTCACAGGACCTTGTAGCAACGGCCTTTACAAGATTCCAGCAAAACAGCGACAAATACCTCCAGCTTCCACGGCATTGTCCATTACTCGTTCAGCTGATACTACCTGGCACTGTAGGCTTGGACATCCACATAACCAAGTTCTTCAGTGGATTTCGAATAAAAATCCCGCGTTAAAAATACCACTTAATAGTTTTTCTTGTAACTCTTGTATGTCTTGTAAAGGACATAAATTGTCTTTTGAACGTTCTATTAGTAGTACTAAAGCTCCTCTTGAACTTGTTCATTCTGATGTGTGGGGACCCTCTCCGGTTCCCTCACATCAAGGTTTTCGTTACTATATAATTTTCGTCGATGATTTCTCGCGATTTGTTTGGATATTCCCACTTATGTTCAAATCTGATGTTCCTAATATTTTCAGTAATTTTGTTAAGTTTATTGAAAGGCAAACCAACCGCAAACTCAAAGTAATCCGCACGGACGGCGGTGGTGAGTTCGTAAATCATCACTTCCGAGCCATTACCAAGAATGCCGGCATTCATCATCAAACATCGTGTCCGTATACGCCAGAACAGAATGGGATCGCCGAGAGGAAACATCGTCATATTATCACGTCCACAAGAACCTTGCTACAAAATGCTGGTCTTCCCATGTCCTACTGGTTGGAAGCAGCTTCTACTGCTACTTATCTAATCAACAGGGTCCCGTCTGTTATCACAAACCAGCTCTCACCGTTGCAACGGATGTTTAATATACGACCCTCATATGCACACCTAAGAATCTTCGGATGCGAATGCTTTCCATTGTTACCACCAACTCAGAGAACCAAATTTTCTCCGACATCCTCTGCTTGCATTTTTATTGGATATTCTGACACTATGAAAGGCTACAGATGTTTAAATCCAATAACAAACAAAATTTTTACCTCAAGACATGTTAGATTTAATGAGAAATCCTTTCCTTTTCTTAACAGGCTCGTCCAAGAACCTCCCAACTCCAATGCGGTTCCACACCCCCTCCTTATTCCGTCGTCTATACTGAATAATATTGATCATAAGAAGCAGCTCAACAATTCGTTCCGATCAACTGCTGACCGAACGACAACTGATATCAGGAGTCCGGCCACAATTCAGCATCCTACTCATCCTCATCACGTTGTATCTCAACAGATGTCCGTCTCTCCACCCAAACATCATATGACTACCAGGGCCAAAACAGGATCCCTTAAACCGGTCCAAAGGCTAAATCTATTGCATCATGGACAACATCAAACTGATCCCACAACTTTTACCGAAGCCAATAAACATGCTCATTGGCGCAAGGCAATGACAGAGGAATTCTTTGCTCTCCAGAAACAGGGTACGTGGGAGCTTGTTTCCCCTCCTCCCAACGCCTCAGTCATTGGTTCCAAATGGACGTATCGAACTAAGTATAATTCGGACGGTTCCATCGCACGACACAAAGCTCGGTTAGTTGCACAGGGAAATCAACAAGCTTTCGGTATTGATTACAGGGATACCTTTAGCCCGGTAGCAAAACTACCCACAATCCGAATAATGTTCACGGTGGCATTATTTCATCAATGGAAAATTCGCCAATTGGATGTGGCAAATGCCTTCTTGCACGGCGAAATCAACGAGCTTGTTTACATGAAACAACCCAAAGGTTTCGAGGACTCAACTCATCCGAATCACATTTGCCGTCTTCGAAAGGCGATCTATGGACTACGTCAAGCTCCTCGGCAATGGTACACTACATTCACTAAATTTCTATTAAATATTGGTTTTGTGCACAGTCACGCGGATCCTTCGATGCTACTACTTCACCGAGATGAGTTTCAAGTCTACTTACTCGTCTACGTAGACGACATTCTCATTACCGGGAATGATGATTCCAAAATCAGCTGCCTCGTCGATCAAATGAAGTCTGCATTCACTATGAAGGATCTTGGTCTGGCGAACCAATTTTTGGGCATTACTATCGACCATATACAAGATAAGTTCTTTATGTCCCAATCTCAATATGCTTTATCGATCCTTGCTCAAGCCGAGTTGCATAATTGCAACCCGGTAGCTAACCCGTCTTCCTCCAAAACTCCAGTCACTCATGAGGGCGACTCATCGTGCTTTGATGATATTCAGTACCGCCAAATTATAGGCTCGCTGCAATATCTTACTTTAACTAGACCCGACATTGCATTTACTGTCAATGCACTGTCTCAACACATGCACGATCCGGAGATTCATCACACACTGCTACTAAAGAAACTACTTCGCTACATTAAAGGGACTATCGAGTATGGACTTCCGATCACTCGATCCAGCCTACAGATGAGAACATATTCTGATGCCGATTGGGCATCAGATCCACTCACTCGCAAATCAACTTCTGGCTTTTGCACATTCTTAGGTGATACTCTCATTTCTTGGACAGTTAAGAAACAGCCCACTGTATCCAGATCCTCGACGGAGTCTGAATATCGCGCCCTTGCATCGGCCACAGCTGACACTATATGGATCAAGCGTTTATTAGCCGATTTTCGCATCTTGCACGATCAGCCAGTTGATGTATATTGTGATAATACATCGACTATTGCTTTAGCTAATAATCCTGTCTTTCATGGGCGGACGAAGCACATTGAAATCGATCAGCGATTTGTTCGGGAAAACATTCAGAACAATGTCATTAGATTACTTCCTATCAGCACAACTGATCAAATCGCCGATATCTTAACCAAACCTCTATCCACTCCAAGGTTCAAAGAATTACGATCCAAACTGACTATCATTTCCCGCTCGTCAGTTTGAGGGGGAATGTTAAGGATATATATGTAAATAAGTTAAATGCTTTGTACTGTTATGTTATTACTTGTATTATAATTCTATATATACCTGAGACGGTATTCTGTAAGGAAAATAATATTTGATAAAGGTTTTTACTGTTTTCTATTTCTCTTCCTCGGTTCTTAACATTCTTCATGACTTGATAATCAGTCTCTTGGGATGAGTTCAGTAGTGTCCAGTGTATACATTCGAATGTGCAGTGGTGAGTACGATAGCGTGCGAATATTGAAATGTAGTAGCTGTGTAGCTGGTTGATGCTTGGAGTCAAACGACACCTATGTTGAGCTTCAAATTGTCATAGGAAGAGGCAAGTAAGCTCGGAGTTTGTGGAGAAAATTAGCTCCTACCCCTAGTCCCATGGTAGATGATTGTGAGACGACGAGTTGGAGAATCTCTTGAGTAAGCTCTTCATGTAACAAAGGTGGCGGTATGATAAATCGTACTCACCGTGGCATGATGGCGAGTACCTCTAATGACCAATCTTCCATATGAGGTTGTGTTGAGTCGAACTATTCACAAAAACCTTTGATTACCGTCTATAAAGAACTTTTATTACATCCAGTAAACGTCTACGTTCGGTTTAGGCAAAAAGCGCCTGTACGATTCGGTACAGGCGCTTTTTGCCAACCGAACGTAGAGGGAGCGTACGTTCACTGGATAAAAAATTTCCTAAAA